TTTTACGGATACTACGCCAGCTAACTCGGCTCTAAGAGTAAACAAATATTTGAACTAGGCTTATATAAGTAAACGTTTTCACCATGGAAGTTTTTGGTATTTAAACCTAGTCTCTCTCTCTCTCCGACTTTCTGTGGGAAWTTCTCAATGCGAAAGCGTTTCTATATATATGTATATGTGTGTGTGTATGTAGGTGTTTGTGCCTTAACCCTTCAAACAATTTACACCTCAAAACCTTTCGGTCGTTCAGTAGAGAACGAAATTTCTTCTTACCGACCTTTTCCACTTCATTTACTATTTTACGGTCAGCTACTTTCACTTAGAATTTATTACTTACTTATAGTTAGTTCCTCGACATGCGGCCAACTTTTCATCGCGTTTTATGTTATAAGATTTTTTTCTTTTTAACAAAAATCTTCTTTCACGAATATCACAGCTAATATACTTAATCGCAAACATTTGATCGACAAAGACATTTTTAGATTTGAAAACCTCTTGGTAGAAATGCCAAGAGTCGACATTTATAAGTTAATTAGAAAAAAATTGTATTAACTATCAAGTGTCTTATAACAATACTTTACGGAAATATTTTGAACGATTTAACGTCGAAGATATTCAATTATTATTCGTAAAGTTTAACTTTGAAGACAAATTCGACATTCGTTACGCATTGTTATTTTTTTGTTAATCTTGTTAAAAAAAAGAAAGAAAGATAGAAAAAAGAAATGTGAAAAAAAAAGAAGAAAAAGGAGAGCTTCCGTGGGAACAGAATCTGGAAAAAAGACGAAAGAGAATTCATCGAGCTCGCGAAACCACAAATCGAGACAAACGTGTCCATGCATATGTAGATAACCGTATCTGCATTGCAGATTCTACTGTCGGAAAGAAAGAAAGAAAGAAAGAAAATCTACGATTCGATAGGTAGATTTTAAAATCCCGTTGAATTTTTTCCAAAACGCAACTGTGAAACAAGCTATCTTGTTCATTTCATGCGTCGGATATCTAAAAAAAAAAAAGAAAGGAAAAAGAAACAAACAAAATATCTACTCTTCAAATTCTACGAAGATCAAATTCGTATTAATGGAAAGACGAATTAAATGTTTAATAATAGGCACGTTAAATGATTTCACATCAATTAAAAAAATATAAGAATATTCTTTCAAAATAGAATTAAATTTAAATACTAATTACCACGGTTGAACATTTGATACGTCAACGTCGAACGAATGAGGAAGGATATTTCTGTACGAAATTCGGACAGGAAAGGTAGGTGTGTATGGCATAATACTTGAGAAAATTCATTGGAAGTGGGCTAAAAAAGAGAAAAAGAAAAAACGATGAAAGAAAAAAACAGACAAGTTTTCACTTTTGACCTCATTTAGAGACTGTAGGAATATTAATTGCACTTTCCACTTATTCCAACCTTCTTTCTATGAGACCGTTCGTTTTTCATCCACAATTCGCGTAGGTAATTGCAGAAAACATCGAAATAAAAACAGCCCCGCTGGCTTGTCGCCAAGAGAAATTACTTGAAGACTCGAGCCTTGTTTCTGGAAGAAACTTTATCTACCTATCTATCTATTTCTTTCTCTTTCTCTCTTTTTCATTCTCTCCCTCTTACTAGAAAATATATCCACCGAGAGTGTAAAAGAAATGAAAATAAGAAAGAAAAATGAGAAAAGAAGGGATAAAAGATACTAAGACATATAGAGATAAAAAAATAAGGGGCGGAGGAGGAAAGAAATCTCACGACACGAAATACGAAAAGACAGATAAAAGAAGATCAAGTTGAAATGAGGTGGATAAAAGTAAAGCTTTGCGTTCTATTTCACCTTTTGTTAGTTTCTTATGAAATTCTCTGAACTTCTGATTATCGTTACTCTGTGCGGTTCACTTTCCTTCCAAAGATCCCTATCCCAACTTGTCCAGCTGCCTTAGCATCTCGTCTCCTATGAAATAGTGGTAATGAACTGAGAGTAGCCGTTGGATTCGAGCCAAGGCAAACTCCTCCGCGGAGCTCAAACTGCGTGATCTTAGCTAACATAAGATCAGTCGTGAGATCCATGTGAACCTGTGATACCATGATCTGAGAAGAAGCCGAAAAATAAAAGGGAACAAAAAGAAAGACTTGTGAGAACAAGATGATCTGTTTATGAGGATTTTAACAGTGAACTTTAATAAATTGTTAATTTAGTATTTTAAAACCTGTATTGAAGATTAATAAATGATATCGAAGAATAACTTATTAATACTAGAATTAGACGTGTTTAATCTTTATCTTAAACACTCCTTTTGATCAATTTTTAAAATTCGATTTTGTAAATTAATATTTAAAATATTATCTGCCAGGTTCAATTGATGATAAAATAAATAAATTTAGAAAATAAATAAATACTACTTATCGTTCTCTTGAATATTAAAGAATTACAAGATAGTATAAAAATCAAAAGATATGTGAGAACCACTGATAGAAAATAAGAACAAATCTTATACATAGACTCGTGTGTTCATCGAACAGTGGATTTAACCAATTATGATCGGACTTGTGAAAGAGAAAACTTTACTAGCAGTAGACCGAGAAGCTTTTAATACAACACAACGTTCAAAAGATTTGGTTGAAGGTTCAGAGAAGCAGCAGCTTCATTGATAAATCTCCTCTATGATCTTAGGACTCTTTGTGGCCTGTTCGAAATTGCAATCTAGTATTATTCATTAGCTTTGACGATATTGCATTGCTCCGAGTACTAGGCGACCGCGACAATAAGCGATAACGAGCAAACGAAGCGAATGTTAAATATAACTTCCCAACTTCTTGAGCACAATCTTTAAATGAAGATTCAAGAAACTTCTATTTCTCTTTTCGAACTTTATCTTTATTACTTCTCAAAATGATCTTTCGTTCGCTAATATTTTATTTTAATAATAATCTTACAATTTCCAACATGTTAAAAAGTTTTCATAAAAATGATATACAAAACGTATCAAAAATCTTAAAAGAAAAAATAAAAAAAGATTAATATTGGTTTATTTATAGAACAACGATTTATTTTTTATTTTAAATTATTTGAGTCTTCAGTTGCATATTGGTTTAAAAAATAAGAACTCACAGTACGACACTTCAAATTACTGTCCAAATAAAAATTGATCATTTTTCAGTTCAGAACAATTGAACGACTTTTGAATCACCCTGTATAGACATATGCACAGATGTAACAAATAATATATACGTACAAGTAAGAACTTATCTCAAAATTTATTTTCAAAAGTTTCCATACATTTTATAAACATATTGTTTATATTCAATATTGATATTAATACTTTTTACTTATAATAACAATGAAGTTGCTTTCAATGGAAAGATACACTACTAAAACGTGATAGCTTTTTTAACTTTTTAAAAAGTTATGATTTTTGAAGTATACGTATACGTAAGTAATAAATTGTTAGAGTTTTGATCGAACTTTAGAAACTTTAACGCGTCCGGTTGACCAACTATCCAAGAATAAAAAAACTAAAATGAACCTTTCATCAAATCCATCGACGATTTTAAAAAGAACGTAAAAAAAAATAAAGAGAAACAAAAATATCTACACAGCTGGAAATAATCGATTTAAAAAACTTAAAACTACACACTACGAATCGCTTATTTCCCGTGAAATATAGACCTTTTTTAATTGTCAACAAGTTTATAAAAGTAACAATCTGTGTGACTAATGTGATTGAAAAAAATATCTATGTAATACTATATAAAAAAAAATGTATTCAAATGTTTGAACTTTTTATATAGGATGTGATTAACGTTCGAGAAAAAATAAATTACCGAAATAAACTATAGTATAGTGAGCACTGCACAACAAAAATATATTATTCAATATTTTCTTTAAAATAAAAACAACCAAATTTTCATAATTTTAGAATGCTTTTTATTTTTAAATCTACTGCTTAAGCACATAAACGTAAGTAATGCAATCATAATGAAAATAATAATCAAATAATTTGATAATTTCGTAATAGAATGTAAATGACAGTTCCTTTAATTGAATCGATAATTAAATAATAGAGCGAATATAATACTCATTTATATTATAAGACAATTTTTTCATAAGATCATCAAGATTCCATACATTTTCTGATTTCTGTATTTTTCATTACAAATTTATTTTATGAATATATGTACAATGAAGGATAACATATGTGTGAATCTTTCTTTTTGTTGATACGTATTCAAAATGCAAATTTAAAAAGAATTGCATTATAATTACGATTTATATAGTACATTCTAATTCATATAATATCTAAGTAATACAATAGAACATTTTTCTCTTGTTGTTTTTCCCAAACGTTATTTCACGTGTACTTGTCAGTTCCCAGGAAAGACTCAACGGAATTAACCCACATACATATGTTCAAGGGTTCATGTACTTGAACTCCGAGACAAGTGGACGTTAGCACAACCACATACCTATATACACGCGTATACTAGCCGACAAACATGAGCTTAAAGGATTTAGACAAGCAACGAACAGTGAAACGTGAAGAATGTCCAAGCAGTCTCGAGTTTTAGATTAGATGACGTGATTAAATTATTTTCTTGAATGAGTCATAAGACAAGAATTTATTTTCAAACAATACCTATACTTAGCAGCTATTTTTCTAACGTTTTATTTAATTTCTTAACAGCATAATAACAATACAAGTAATGAAAAGATATCTATACATAAATTTGTATGTTCTAAATTATTTTATGCCAATAAAAATACGGGATGTCTCAAAAGTTATATATTTTATTGTCCACAGAATAATACGAATTTCACTTATATCACTTCATGTAGGTCACGCACATTTCTCTTTTTATTTCAATTTTCTTTTATTAAACATTTGAAACATCCTGTGTGTTATATGTTGAATATCAAAAAACTTAATTTTGAGAAGGTGCTTGGTTCATATATTATATACTATAAAATGAAAAAAAAAAATTGAGTATTTAAAAATCCACTCACCCTCTGTGCCTTCCTTTTATCAGCACGTTGATTTTGATGATATATTCTGCTGAAATTACTGACGATTACAGGTACCGGTAAAGCGATCACTAGGACACCGCTCAAGGAGCATACACCCCCGACGATTTTTCCCGCGATCGTTTTCGGAACCATGTCACCGTATCTGTAAAAAGCAAAGAAAGGAGAAAATTTAAAAACTTTGATACGAATAAAAGTCATTAAATAAAAATCGATTATAATATATCATATCACATTGGTGTAGGATAGATATTAAACGATAAAGTTTTAGTGATCATAATGGTTCACAATGGCATCAAATGTAACATCATATCTGTGGTAAAGGAGAAATAGTTTATATACTATTATACCCCCCAGGTGCAACATACGAGAATGCTAGTCATATCTCGAAACGACCGTGTTATATCGTATAATGTTTCCCTCACGGCGATCTCCTTCTCATTTAATAAAACAGATTATTGTTGGAGTAATACAAACTGCATAACTTAACTATGTAATTCAAATTTGTATATATATATTTTATTTTTGCAGCAATTTTTTGCGCAATGTGTGGCATGGATCGTATAGAATATTTTCTAGCATGTTCTAGAGCGATTGGAACTCATAACGCAACACTGGGATCAAAGGTACACAACAGTGTCGGGCCCCCTTAGAAATGGGATCGGGTTACTATGTAAACACATGCGATACAATAGGGGAAAACGAAATTCCTTCGTAAGGGCAAAGTTTTCTATGCATCTCAGTTCCCTCTAAAATTTTCAGAAACATAAGCTATGCTCATTAGGGTGGGTCAAAAAAATGACTTTTTTTTTTTTCAAGTGCCACGGAAAAATGGGTTGCTAGACACCTTAAAACAATTCTCACCAAGTATGAGCTCTTAATTTTAATAGGAAAATCCTCCGCATCCCAGTTTTTTTTTTTCAGTCTAATAGATTAAAATTCATACCTCATTATTTATTGATTGTACAGAAAAATGTTCTAGACGAATTTTGTAGGAAACTTAATGCTCTACAAAAAAGGTATCTCATATTTTTTCCGTAAACCTTACCATTTGAATGATATTGAAGATTTCAATTTGATGATTTTTAGACAAATTCCATTTTTGTTTATGAATTTTATAACTCGACAATAAATGACTATTAAAAAGTGCACGATACAAATTTTATTAGGAAATTAACTGCTCTATAAAAATGGTGTCTTATGTTTTGGCGATTAAATTAAGSGTTCAAAAGATATTCAGAGACAAAAATCAGTACACATGAAAGTTTGATGATGATCGAATCAATAAAGGAATAACAATTAATCGATTCACATTGATTCACAATCCTTCATATTCCATTAAGACTTTCTTACGATAGATAAATAACATAGTACCGATCAAGGCACTGGTACGCAACATATATTGTAGAAAAAAAAATTAGTATCCAGTTCTTTTCTTTATATTCTATTTTCTGGAAAGGAAAACTCTATTTGGAGACTAAAAGAAAAGATTTAGGATGGCTAAAACAAAACTTAAGAATTATTGGGACCTTCTGGTGCGATAAAAACCCTTTGTGCAAGTGTCAGATCCTTTGAATAGTTTCAGATTTCTATGGAAACACATGTGACACATAAGGAGAAACAATACTCCGTTACTTGAAACGAAGTTCCTTTATTCATGGTCTTTTACTGCGATTTTTACCTAAAAAAACATAAGCTATACCCATCGGTTGACTATAGGGGTCAAAAGGATTTGCTATTGGTCAAAAGGATTCGTAATCCCCTTCCCTCCCCAAAGGGGTGTAGCTCATTTCTGATATAAATATGTGAAAAGAAGTAAGAAAGTGTCCTTAGTGCTCAGTCTGTATCTGTCCTTAGTTAGTCAGTCCTCAGTTAGTCCGTCTGTATCTGTCTGTGTGTTACCTGTTATTCTGCAAATCAGTCAGTCGATCTTATATTTGTAACCCTTTTGTATTCTGTATTTTTGTAACCACGTCACTTTTTTGTAAACTTGTGTAAATACCGCTCGACATCACATCATCATAATTTAATAAACTATATTATATCAGCTCAATATATATATTTCTCTCTGTCTGAAACCCCACAATATGTACACTTAGGTCTCTTTTTATACAGTTGATATATATTGTACACAAGAAAAGGTTTAAAAAATATTCGTAAAACAATTGATTTGCAGCAAAGTATTACAATTATATTAAATTAAAGCAATCCAATAGTCTTGAAGATACTATTCTTCAAATTATTATCGATTTTCTCGATTCTAAAATAAGAATAAATAAAATCTATGTGAGAATAAACCAAGTAAATAAAATAAAATAAGTAAAACTTATTAAAAAAWTTTCATAACCGTAACCAAAGCATGATAAACTAACTATGTAAAAGTTAATAACACGTAATAAAACACCGCGTCAAAATGAGAGGTATGAAAATGTATTGTGTAATTAGAACCAAACGTGTACATCACTAAAATAACAGATAGAAAACGACGATGAAACTTTCTTGTGATTAAAAATAATTATTTAATTAATAAATATACCAGAACGCTCGCATAATACGTCTTCTTCATTTAATTTTCTGATAAAAAATTGTGAATGTTAAAAATAAGTGTATTGCATATATTGATAATTTCAATTACTACCTACTTTAATTTTTTTAATTTTTCTCAAAAAAAACATCTTAGTACTAAAGCCGATCATAATTCAAAGGAATAATAATCAACAGTCGATAAAATCAATATTAAACACGATAGAATATTCCTTTTTAATTTTTAATCAATTTTTGTTTGACATAGTTCTTAATAACACATAATAACAAACAGAAAAAGAGATTGAACTATTGATAAAACTAGAAATCGATTTTTCAACTAGAAAATAATCAATATACGAACGAGAAAATAACAAATTAACGTGAAAATATTGTCGATAAGATGGAACACATATTGTCGCGTTAAAATACAAAAGATTTGTTAACAATTCCGAGGTATACCTATATATATTTATATGTATGCACGCGAACAAATAATAATCTTCGGTATTTTTCTTTCTTTTTTTTTTTTAATTTACCGCCGTCGCGTTTCCGTTCGTGTAAATAAAAAAAAAATTTATGCCCACTAAAAAGGAAAAGAAAAAAAAGAGAGAAAAAAGAAAAGCCATGAAATCGTAGAAATAAACGCGTTTAAATTAAACACCGAGCTGGACGCTTTAACGATTCGAGTAAACGACGTTGAAAGTTTGAGGGCCAACGTTGTACAATTTCGTAAGGTGAATACGACACTACTTTCAATTATATTGCCTCACGTCAGATGCTAAAATTCTAAAAGAACGTTTTTAGTCATTCATATTCCTTGAATGAAAATGTATATGTAATCACAGAAAATTGGAAATAAAATAAAATTTTAAAATACTTCGAGTTATTCATAGGTATGTTTGTCAGTAATTATAAAAGTAAATTAACAATAATTTAAAAAATTAGAAGCAGTAATAAAATTAATCGATATCAGCTTTCGTGACGGTTTCTGCAAATTTACATACAATATTTTAATGTAATTTAAAATACGTTACTAGTCAATACAATTTATATAAAATAATTTAATAACAATATATGTATATAGGCTTAAAATTTTGTAAAATAAGGAACATAAATAATATTAGGCAATAATTAATTATTTCTAGGTAACTAATGAACCTTTTTATTTATTAAGTTCTGAAGTAGTAATAAAATGTTTTCAGTAACGTAGATTATAGTTGTGTCATCTGGGCCTATACTTAAAATCACAATTAATTTTATACGGGACCCCTTTTATTCGAAAGTTATATATAATTACTTACAATTCCACTAGAAAACTGTTTTAAAATATTAAACAATATTTAAGATCATAATATTCGAGTAAAATTCTAAAAAATATTATTCATTAATAATAAAATAAAACAAAGATAAAGATGAGAAACAGTAGAAAATTTAGGAAGTCGAAGTAAAGATCCAAAATAAATCAACGTCGACAAATACGAATTGGCTCTCGTCGGGTGAATTTTCGTGAGTTATACGCAGTTCTAGTAGAGCCTCCAGAAATGAAGGTAAACGAGTCCATTTGTGTTACGTTCTGAAAATGACACGATATGAGGGATAAAAAATATCGTTCTGATATGGATGTAATAGAGCATGATGCCTCGGCATTTAAGAATCACGGAAATATCATTAGGTTGTATTAGAAGAGGGTCTCGAGAGAGGATTATAGACAATAACCTTCTCATATCCCTTGACGTTGAATTATATCCAAGGACAAAGTTAAAAATCAATTTTTTTTTCTTACGCAATCGTATGTACTTACTTACATGTATAGTTTAATTAATCTTCATGGTATGATCCGATTTAAAGTGATTGGATACTTTCTTTTTTTTACCCAGTACTTGCAAGGATTTAATCAACGGTTCGTATAAAATGGTAATAGGGATACTATAAAAAAAAGAATAGCGATCCTATTAAACTTAAAATGAGATGCATCAAAAGCGAAAGGAGACAGCAATAACGACACGAAAAGAGCGTCAGATGGCCTCTTTCCGGAATTTTCTTCAAGGAAGTCAACGAAAGTAAAGTTCTCGGGTAATATAAATCAAGAGTGAAAAATGGTAACCGAAGTCACTCCAAGAGAGTTATCGCACTTTTCTGTAAAACGAGAGTTCAGATCACGGATTTAATTCCTCAAACATGTTTGATTGTTTTTGAAACGAAACTTTTTTTTGAGACAGTGCCGAAAATTTCAAACGAAACGGCATATTAAAAATTTTGAGATGATAGACGTTATTTTGGTAGTGTAGGAGAAAAGGGAAAATATTGATCGGATAAAACTTGTAGAAGACGGCAGGAAGGTACGATACATCTGCGCACAAACAATTTAACAGTATTATGTTGTAATCTTACAATTACATACATGTAAAGAATTAACGAAAAACATTAAGAAAAATATGAGAGAAATAAGGTTATAATATACTATAGTTACATTATTATCTTAGGCGAATTTATTCGAATAGATACGAATAAAATAATAAAAACACTTTTCCAAAATCACGATTGTACATAATTACACGTAGTATACCTTGCATCTATGTAGGCCGTAGTATTATTTAAAAGGAAAATGTGTGCGCTAAT